TCTAAATGGTTTCAGAAGTAATCCACCTATCACCTGTTAACTGAGAGGATGGAGATTTGTTGCTTTGTGATCTTTTAAGCATTGAGAGCATGATAGGCAGTTAGCAGGATCACCTCGTCGTATATAATGAATGAAATTCTGAATGGTTTCAGAAGTAATCCACCACTCTCCATCTGTTAACTGAGAGGATAAAACATATTGGTTGGCGATCATTTAACTTGTAGTCAATCAATTCAACTGCAAGTGCATTCCCCAGTCATGTGTTAAAAGTGACACATTTAATTTAGTTCAAGCTTAGCAATTACCAGAAATAATAATTTATTCCCATTTTGATCGGTTTTATATAATTTGGAATAATTATGGTATGCATGCTGTCAACTATTTGTTTATTTTAAAATGTGAAAGGTAAATAAAATAAAATAAAATGCATAGTGAACGCATGTACAATATTAATTTAAGCTAGAAACGATTCAAGCTATTTTCATGGCAATGATTAAAAAAAAGCATAAAGACATTGCTTAAATGATTTTCGTATATATAAATTTTTGTTTTTTCCATTTTAAATATGAAAAAGCACCGTCGATAACCTATAAGTACTTATGCTCTCGGAATCCGTGAAAAACTCATCAAGTCGCTTATTCTCGATTAAATTCAACTTATGAATTTTCGCAGCCAATCTATGAAGGGTGTCTCTTCTGAAATAATGGTCTTGAGAGTATTGCAATCGTCAGACATAGAGCTGGCTGAGCGATATCGTGGCGATTAGATTGATTGGCTTTGCTTTTTTTGAATTTAAAATGAAAAATATAAAAGATTAGATAGACCAGACGGGGTCGGAATCTCCGATTGCGTAAAAACAATCACTAAATTTCCCGGTTAGTTCTGCTCAAAAATTTGTTTACAATTCGGTAAGCCATAGATACGTTACTTGCATAAATGAAAGTCTAAATATATATATATATATAGATATAAATATGAAACATAATAATACATATTCACATATATGCATACGTATGTAAAGTATAAGCATAGAATTGAAAAAAAAAAAAAGGAAAAGTACGAAGTTTATTTTAGTCAAATGACGAGAAAGAAATTTCTTTAGTTGCGATCAATTTTCTGCAAAGTTTCGCTCATTTCACGTTCAGCGGTATATCAATACGTTGCAGGCAGCCGTAAGAAGTAAAGCATTTTTTATTATACCGAATAACTTTCTAGTTCGATTTATACTTCTGTCTGACTGTCCGTTCGTCCTTCCGATGCCTGTTCATGTATTTTTGCATTTAATCTATAGGCAGTAATTTTTTGAGAAATGAATTCATGAAATTTGTTACACTGAAATTTTTTGACGCAAGCGTGAACACTATTGAAAATGATTTGGATCGCATCACTTTTGCTTACCCGCTTCCCATATAATGCGACAATTTGAAAACTCGTCATATGAATATGAATTACATTAAGCATTGCGGGCAGAAATAATATGGCGTCCACATCTAGAATTTATCCTTTATGAAATGCATTTCAAGAAAAGATGAAATAAACTTTTCAGACGGATTTGGAATTAAAAACATAAGGGTTTGTATAAAATTACTTATAGATGATGATAATTTAATCCATTTAGACATGAGAGAGATAAAAGAGCTGCTTACATAAAATCATTCAGTATATCCTGTACGTGCCTGTGTGTTAAATACGCGATACAGTTTTCGCTTTGTAATAGTAATTTTCATAAAACAAAAAGAAGCAAAACTAGAGGATGTTTTGAGGAGTGTCTGAATGAAAATTCAGATTTATTTTCCTTTATTTTTGCATCCATATACTGTGTTATGTGATGGGTTATGCGGATTGAAAGAATTATTAGCCGTAACGGTAAATAAGTGTTACGGAGTCATCATAACATAAGAATTTAGTATTAAAACTAATTGTCAGTGACGTAAATTAGGACAGAGCTACTGCAAGATCTACTGTTTACACAAACGGCGATCTCAAGCAGAGTTGATATTAATTTCTCTCAATTTGGGATAGCAACCTATTTTCTTTAGGCTTGTCGGAGAAACACTTTTATATATATTTTTTTGTTTTTGTTTACTTGCGTATATCGCACACTTGGCCGTCAATATACATCAAGTACACGAGAATACCACATGCACAACACATGAATCCCAAAAACAAAAACGTAGCAGTACTATTTAGTATATTGGAGGATCGTAGAGCAATAATGAATTGTTCGAAATTTTATCTTAGGTGTAACGTCGGCAATGTATGGATATCAACTAGCTTTAACTAGTTTTAATGGGATGCGTTAAAGCGATTGCGTTATCCAAGATCCTAAATTAGTTAAAATAATCATAGTCATGAACTTGTATTGATTATGTTTTAAAAAAAAAAGAGTCTTTTGACGGACGGATGGGAACATTAAAGTTGATCTTATTGTACCCAATAGCGAAATCGATCATACCATTTATCAACTTTACCATGAAAGTAATGGCGAAGAGAAACCAACATTTGTCGAGTGAAGTTGAAGTTATAAGTAGTAATCTGTTTTCGTACGGTGACAGAGGGACAAGTGGATCTTAATTTAAATTTCTGCAAAGGTATAATAATTTTTTTTTGTAATATGGTCAATCGCTCAAGAGGCGTTACCTATTCGCCTAGCACGTAGGTGACGGTGAGAAAGAAGTGATGCGGGGCGAAGAAGATAAGGGGGCGATAATCGAAGACTAGTGGGTGTGCGCCCAATCGGCAATTATCACGCCTCTATCGACTGAGCCATCGCTGCAACTGCGGCCAAACTGAATTAATATGGCGAGTTTTATTCTAGTATAGGTCGTACCAATGTCATACCTATGCTGCTCATCACGTCTTCTCATTAAATTCTCTCGGCCAGCATATAATAAAACGTAGAGCACTGATATATAAATTGTAGTCAATTTTATGGTCGAATAGAGTAATCAGATAATGAAACATATACATATACTTTAACGTATTTGAATCAATTAAATATTCAGTTATAAAAAAATATATATATCTTGAAAATGGCAGCCACTTATCTTTCTTTTGATTTAATAGAATTCTCAATAGAATCTTATAGAATTGAATCGGCATCGTGTCACTAAATTATTTAAATCAACTTGAGGAGGATGTGAGTAAAATTCCGTTTTAAACTACGAGAATAATTTCATGTCGTTAAGCTTGCCTTAGGATATGAGAGAATTTCATTGTTGACCAAAGATCATTAACATATAGGATATGTAGAATAAGTCCTACGGAATGGAATTATCTTGAGGGACTCCTGAAGCGCCACGAGTCTCATATCTGTAAGGATCAATCATAAGCAAGGTAGGAGTATAAGCTAACCTAACCTAACCTAAGCTATATAATATCTATAATAATAATTTATGTTTAATTTTGTCGAAGGCCATACCGTTATCAGTGTAGATAACACTTATTTGTGGATACCTTTGGAGAAGGCAATTGCATGATCGTTATGATAGCCATAGCTAATTCGGCGCATTATAATCTGCTCAAATAGTGTATAGGAAGTCACGTTCGGATATTTGATGAACGCAATTATTATAAAAAGAATCGGTGATTGTAAAGTCAATGTTCGTTCAACCATTAATTGCTTCGATGCATAATTTGGGCAGCTGAAGAAAAGATTTCTTAACAAAAATCAGCCGAGAATTCCTTAATAAAGATTTATGGCAATTGTTCTTATTAATAAAGTAAAATTGATATATATATATATATATATACGCACACACACACACACAGAGAGAGAGAGCTTATTCAGTAAAGGTTAGAAAGTTTCCGGGAAAAACCAAGGATTTTTTTTACAAATTTTGCAATATTAGGTGCTTGCATGTATTTTGATCATTTCTTTAGTTGAAAAAGGCTTTTATTGAATAAAAATTCCTTAAGCATTTTGAAAGGGCTTGCCAGCCAAACCATAGAAATGAATGAATTTAAAGATGGATTATAATTATCTTTCTTCTATAAAGAGTAGAGTAAAGTAAAGAGAAAGTTTATATAGCACAGGTGGAAATCCTTAATTCTCTATACAGATTAACGAATGAAAATATCGCAAATGCTATCTATTGTATAACTGTTTGTAGATGTTTCATTAATATTTCAACTTCTTAAAGTAACGCATTATGCATATTATTTTAATTGACTTGAATTGCTTCCTCTGACTGAAAAAAAATAAAACATCAAAAAAAAAAAAAAAAACAAACAAATTGAAATGGTGTAATAAATATTTTGTAAAAGTTTTATTTTAGTTTTTCTTTTCTTTTTCTAAACACATATATATTTAATGTTATTATTATTATTATTACATTATCGAGTTAACATCAAAGAATGTTACAATTACAAAGTCTACTTTGAACAAATTCGATTGTTCAAATTAATGGAAGTAATCACTAAAACAAAAAAGAAAAAATAATTTTGAAAATAACTGTCGTTTATGTTTTTTTTTTTTTTTTTTTTTTTTTTTTTTTTTTCAAATGTTGCAGTAGTATTAAGAAATATTTATGAAATAGTAAAACGTCTTTTGTTTTTTTTTTTTTTTCATTTACTGTGATTATTATTTATACTTATCATATCAATTAAAAGCATTTTAGGTAAGTTTTTTTCAATTACATATATATTACAATCCTCCAATGCTTGATGTGTCAGAGGAAGTCTTTAAATAAAGTCCAAAGTAAAAACTAAAGCAGAGTAATGCAAAGCAAAGCAAAGCCAAGCAAAAAACAAAGCCAAGTAAAGCAAAGCAAAGCAAGGCATGGCATGGCATGGCATGGCAAGGCAAGGCAAGGCAAAGTAAAGCTTTATAATGAAAAGTTCACTACTTTTTTTTTTTACGTCTACTTAATGCTATATTGTATTGTTTCGCTTTCGTATACACATGCAAGGCAGTGACGTGCAATGTATTTTATTAGAATCTTTGTTTTTCTATCGTTTGCGGTTTTGAGTGTAAGAGGTATAAATATTCCATGCTCTGGCCAAATAAAGACATAACAGACAAGTTACTTTCAACTGCAACAAGTCATAATTTTCAACTAAAAAAAAAAAAAAAAAAAATTAATCAAAAGTATTAAATAAAAAAAAAAAATAATAAAAAATGTTTAAATTGGTAAGGATGTGCACGAAGAGTAGCAAGGATGTATATTAAAAACTAAATAAAGAATTGTAAAACCAGCACACAAGATATGCTCTATAAGGAGCAATATCAAATTTTAAATAGAAAATTATTGAAAGAAAAAAGAAGAAGAAGAAGAAGAAAAAAAAACAATATTTCTTTCAATCACAGATAAAATCTAATTTATTATAAAAAATAAATATAAATCGAAATATTTAGAAATTTCAACAAAACAAAATTAAAATGTAAATAAAATTAAAAAGTAAATGAAAAGTTTTATGCAAAATTTTTTACTTTTTTATTTATTTGCTTTCATATTTCATTTCTATTATTCATTTATATCCTTTGTAACTGAAAGTCATTAAACTAATAAATAATAATTAAAAAAAATAAATAAATAAATAAATTAAATGAATAAATAATAATCAACTATAAAATTTAAAATACAAAAAATATTAATTAGACTGAGAAAGATAAGATTTGATTAATAAAATTAATTCGTGAAAATTAAAAATTATTTTTTTTCGAAAATTTTAGATTACTGTACTCTCTACTCTTTGCGCTGTCGCCACGGCTGGCTACTTGGGTGGTTATGGCGGTTACGGTGGCGGTTATGGTTATGGCGGTGGTCATGGAGGACTTGGCGGCGGTTATGCCATATCGGCTCCTGCTGTAGTTGCTGCCCCAGCTGTGGTAAAGACTTATGCAGCTCCTGCTGTTGTTGCTGCTCCTGTAGTTAAGAGTTACGTCGCCCCAGTGGCTACTTCATATGCCAACACCTATAAAGTTGCCACAGCCTCAGTGCCTGTAGTTCATGCTGCTCCTGCTGTATCTTACGCAGTAGCCGCTCCAGCTATTAGCTACGGTTTAGGTCATGGTTTAGGTTACGGTGGCGGTTTCGGTGGATACGGCCATGGCTTCGGCGGCTATGGCCACGGTTTCTCCGGCTATGGCCATCATTAAGCTTATGCCTTTCTCATACACTGGATTATTGTCACCATTACAAAGATTTTTTCTAGTTTTATTTAAAAAAAAAAAAAACAAAAAAAAAAAACACGAGAGTCACTCTTAGCACAAGTATTAAGCCATACCAACGGCCCGACTTTTTGGTTAAGAACATATTGCGATCAATTAACAAAAAAAAAAAAACAAATAAATTAAATAAATAAATAAAAGAAACAAAAAACAAAATTGTATATACAACGAGAATTTTTGTGAATGTGTACCTGTTTTCAAACATATATACGTGTGTTAATAAAGAAAAATTAAAAAAAAAAAAAAAAAATTTTTTTTCGATTTTTAATTACATGAAAAGTCAAAGATTTTTTAAGATTCCCTTAAACGCAACCAATTGATCTCCGTAAACTTATTAATATCGTATGATTTCATTTTTTTTTTTGATCTTCTTGTCGGCACATTTTTAGCCTAGAGTATAGATGACCATACTTTAGATAGATACTAAGGGAATTTGGTTCATATCTGCTACATCTTCTAACCAATCGCTTGTCATAAGTTTAATCAGTTATTTCAAAATGTTCTTCGAATTTCGACAATTTTCTCAATGGCTTCCGATTATTTGGAAAGTAGACCTACGGTATGATCTAGAACTATGTATATCAAGTTGCAATAATTTTCATATCAATTCTGGCTAATATCAATCGAGACAATCTTGTGCCGATCACTTCGCGCCATACACTCACAAAATTGTTAGGAACGAGGGGAAAAAATTAATGTTCATCTAACTTGCATTTGCTGCTAAGTATAAAAATAATCTAATTAGCGAAGGTCGTGGAAATTTGAGTTAAGCAGTTCACACATTACACGCTCGCATACATATCATGTGGGCGTTATTTTACCAAGCAAAGCTTTCTTGTTAATCAGTTTAATTCGCTTATACTTTTTACTAATGAATGCAATAATTAGATGATGGATCGCTACCTGATCAGCTTAAGATATTTATATTTCAATGAAGTAAAAATTTTCGTTATTTGAACTCTTGTGTTATTTGTATGTAATGAATCATTTATTATTACACTTGCCCTGCCCGATTCTGTGACACGATATCCATGATATATATATATATATATATATATATATATATATCGTCAGTTATCATCTAATTGTTAGATTAATATTAAGAAATGAGTATTTTTTTTTTTTAAATTGACTTTCATTTGTTTATTAAATAATTAAGTGTATAAATGAGAACGTGAACATATTGAACTAAGCAAATTGTCGTGTATTTATGTATCAAGATTATAATAATATTCATGATGCATTTTTCAAACATATTCGTACACGATTTAACGGAATCGAACAAATCGCCGCAATAACATAAACATTAAACGTATTTACCTGCGGTAGCAATTAAGTGAATAAATAATTTGACACAATTATGGCAAAGCTGAGACAATGGTAGATTTAAGTCGTACCTTTATTGTCTTTCACCTGAGAACAACTGAGATTTTAATAATAAATTTGAAACTGAAGTTATTTCTCTTAATCAAATTAAAAACTCTTTCTATAAAATAGATTATTATATGATTAATTATTGATGAATCGAACTCTACGACCTTTGTAGTTCAAGGTCAAATGTCGAATGTTTGGCAAAAATTTCTTTTAAATCTGTTTCGCCTTTCTATCTATATTATTTGCACCAACGTCGTCAATTTATTCTTCGATTATTTTCATTTTTGGAAATAACATGATCCGGCCTCATATGCCGCAAACGGGACATTACGTTAAATAGATTTGTTTTGAAAAGGCATAATTCGAATCGATTTTTCCGCAATAATTCAATGATTAATTTGCCGGTTGAAGATAATTTCATGATCATGATATATCGTTTTTTTTTTTTTTTTGTTTTGCATCACTTAATGCTTTCACGTACTCGCAGTGAGGCGAAAATTAATCTAAAAATTTTGCCCTATAACTATAATCTTACGAGTCGCGATCTTAGGGGAAGAAAGAGAACAAGTTAAAACGGGTAATGGGTTTACCATAAGATACCAAAAATTTAACTTAATTGCCACGTAAAGTCCTTTCTTTTTTGCGCGTAACCTCATAGTAGGAAGTAGTCCAAAAAAGGGGAATATTATCGTCAAAGCTTGGTGCAATGAATTTATATGTCAAATCATTATATATAAGAGCATTTGTTTATCATTGAATGGTTGAAATTAAATTTTATTACCATATATGGCCTTGATTCGAAAATATGATCCCCCATCCCCTCCAAATGCCATACATTCGTTTCATATGCTAACATACCCTTTTTGACCGATTGTTGTCAACAAAATTTAAAATGGCAACACTTTTTTCTGGGAGTGATCACGATTATGCTCCGATCTAATCCTTCTTCATAAGCGTTCATTATTTGGCAGCGTCGGAAGTTTCATCAGATTAACTTCAAGTGAGTGTTAAACGGGCACACAAAGAGCTCAGCCTATTCTAGATCCGCATAAACCTATTATACCGTCGGATTAGTGAAGGGTAAAAAAAATTTATCTTAGATATCCCTTCTGAAATAAGCCCCACAGGTAAAGTTATACCGCAGTTATATCGAAAAATTGATTCAATATCACAGAAGTGATACTGAAGTCTTTAATTTTTATAAATATTTTCATCAAACTGATTGATATCTAAAGTTCGCTCGAGCTGTTCACATTCTTGTAACTCTACGCTGACTCTCTCTTGCTATTATACCACTTTTGAGATATCCGTAACTAATGTTCTTGAAATTAATTTATGAATATTAAAGACGACGTTGACTAGTGCACGAAATTTACTACACAGCGAATGTACAGAATATGCTCACGCCTACTAATTTCTTTGGCTTTGTGTGAACTGCTAGTCATAACGAAGGACGATTCCCAACATTACGGAAAGTGACTATCTCCATTCAGCCCTTCTGTAAAGTAACGCAATACAAGACATACGTAGCATGCTATTATTCTCTTTGGCTCCTCCGATTTAAAAGTGCAAGTCTTCGCAAGAATTCAAACTAATGTTGGTCTGAGTTAATGTAACGCTTAAAGCAGCCGATGTAGTTGAATTTCGCAAGCATCTTAGAAAATCATCCAAAATTATATTTATTATCTTATGGAAAATGTTTGCAAAAATGAGAAAGAACATTGAAACGTTTTGCCCGACGCACATCAGGCTCTCAGGTAGTAAGTAGTTCGTATGGCCTCAATAGCCATAAAATTATTGAAGGAAGAAATTGGAAAAAATTTTTCTTTCGATTCGACTCCATGATAATCAACTAAGAACATCCTGGGTTCGCCAAATTCTTCTTCTTGGCTAAAACTGGTACAACCAACGGCATTATCGAGCAGCAGCGAGCCAAAGAATTGTTCCCACAATAGAATCTCGCATTTTGCTCTTCAATAGTAATAATTCTTCCTCTTTAGTGCTTTAATGCTTAAATTAACACTGATCTCAATTTTTGACTTCACCTTATTAGTAAGACTCACACCTAGAGAGGAAATTTGAAAACTTTTACTGTTTGCCTACTCCTCCCTCTCGATATTCATCTCTTTAAGATGAATATAGAATGGAGTTGACAGTCCTCTATAGTTTCATATATGTGGACGATTTTAAATGCACATGTTCTTGCAACTTTTCAAACATAATCTTCCCCTCCTGTGGCTTCAGCAATCGTTATACTTTGTTTTCAAAGTTTTACACTTATCATTCATTCTTCTATTATATTACGTGTAGGATCATTTGCTTGCATTGCTCAGGCATTTGCAAACGAAATGCTAAAGTTAATATGCCTGGTTGTCGGCGGGTGTGTAAGGCTGGACAATTTAAATATAACATTCGTAGAGCGATTACAGGCATTATAATCATTGCTGATAGCGCTTGCTAGCTAGCATGCCTGATTATAATTGATCTTATATATATACATATGTATGCATATAGATTCTCACGTGAGAAAAAATCTGTCTGACTATGACTGCATGAATCATAACTTGACTCAGATAATGTTGAATGAAATAAGAGCAGGTTTAAAAATAGTTGCGGTTGATAGCGATTTAACAGTGAAAACTACACACACACACACACACACACACACACACACACACACTTTACTACTTCACGAAGTATAGCAAAAAAAAAAATTTATCTTATATAAATATTTTCTATGCTTCTTATGTATTATTGTATGTAAAAAGCATATAGAAAATTGCTAACTAACAAAGAGTTCATGTATATGAAATGACTGATTAATTAGGCAACTGGCGAATTGATTTTCACATAAATTCATTTTACATTTATTTATATACAAATAAATGAAAGGAAATATGTATAGAAATGAAAAGAGACTTAAGTGACAAAACGTTGCTACCAAACATGCTATGTCGTGTGTCTTTTAAAAAATTTCTTAACAAAACCGCATTCATAATGCTATTAACTATCGTAAGTAATGGACGTTTTTTAATTTTTATATTTTTTAAAAAGATTTTCAAAATTTCATTTTGTAATAAACAAGTTTCTGCTTTGCTTGTTGTTGTCTTAACATAATTATTTATTTTAATGCATTCATCACTGACCTAATTTTTAGGAATTTTTTCTCTTTTTTAATATAATATATATATATATATATATATACATGTATATAATATATATATTCAATTCAATTATTTCTAGAGCGGAAATATGCAACACATGGACATCGCCAGAAATTCGTTTTTATCGCATACATACAAGAATATCATAGAAAATAAAAAAAAAATTATTATATATATATATATGTATATATATATGTATATACATACTAATATCGTAATAATAATAATAATAATATTAATTGTATAATCTATCAAAGGTGATTATTATTTATGTAATATTTTCATATATTATAAATGTACTAAAGATTATTATCGTTGACCGTAACAATAGTTCACTTTCGAGCAAAAGCACTTGCCCGCGTTACAAACTTTTACAGTCGTTTCTATTATATTATTCGTTATTGCTTATGATTAATGGTTCAGCCTTCAGCCTTCAGCCTTCAGCCTTTACAGAAAGAAATCAAATCAAAATAAATAAATATAATTATGGAAGTGAAAAAATATTCGTTTTCGATATGAAAAAGTTTCGAAATTTTTAACTAAGCATTACTTTGAACATTCCTTACAT